CGAATATCCCTGCCCAAACATTTACTTTCTGTGGATATTGCGTCCTTGTTTCGACAAACCTGTGTTGGTTTTCTCTGTTCCAATATCGATAATTTTGAACATTGGGTTCATTATTTAAGGTAAACGTGCATTCGTCAGTGAAGCATATGTTTTTTTAAAAATTCCCTATCCGTGTTTGCTCTTTCCATCATATCAAAACAAAACGCCTGCCGCCGTATTTCGTCCCCATCTCGTAGCTCTTGGTGCTTTTCATATTTGAAGGAATGGTATTTATGTCGTTTCAAAATTCGAACCGCTGCGCTGTAGTGTGATCTATTCCTATTTCATCCTCAAGATTCCTTGTGCTGATCTTTCCATCGTTCTCTTCCACGCACAATAAAACTTCCAAGTCGGTATCATTTCTTGCGTCTTCTCTTTAGTCCTGCCTTGCTTCACATCTGCAGTTATTTATTAGGGTACCTTTGGTCTCAAATCTTTATATTTCTTGCGATTGTCGATTTTTCAGGTATCGGTCTATTCGGATACAGAGCAGCAAACATGTCTGACACCTTTTGATAACTATTTCCTTGATTTTTTTTTCATTTAATCATCAATACTTTTTCTTCAGTAGTGTAATTCATGGCTTAATAATAATAATAAAGCACTAAATAGATAAATTTCTGAAATGACAACTTCATTTGACAGTTATCTTTTACCTTGACTGGTGCTCATAAGTAAATACAGGGCCATAAGAAAGAAGAAATATTTAAAAAGAAATCGGCGGTAACTCGTAAGCGGGCTAATCAAAAATATCTAAAGTTATTCTTTTGAATGTGGGTTTTAGTGCTCTTCAATAAACCTAAATAGAATTATTCTCTAAAATAATTAGGGAAGCCAATAATTGACCCCATTAAAATTTACATGGGATGTCCTATGTCCCGCTCGACGATACAACACCCGGTATGCTATCACGGCCGCGCCACCCTGTACAAACTATTAAGTTTTACGACAACTTCAAAATGTTCCGCGACCATATTCGATGCCTTATTGTTCCTTTACGGCCATTTTGCCGACAAAACAGACATATTTACCTGTAAATCGCCCGGCTAACCCTGAGGACGAACCTGCCGAAACACGGGAAAACTTCCCAAAATTCCCGATCCCGGATGCGAAATGGGCTTCCATATAGCCAGCCAGACAGGAAGCGGTCCGTATCTCTTTGTAGTTTCTACGGTTTTACTCTATTTTTATTGCTTCGGGCTTTTATTTATTTTTCTCAGTTCGATGGGTTCTCATATGTTCCTCGCTACATCTCGTCTCTTTTTCTTTGCTGCATTTTTTATTATTCGAAAATACTGCTATATTTTATTTTTGTTTGTTTTTTGCTTTATATGTCAAATAAAAGTTGTACCTTAATAAATTTTTTTTCAGATATATCTTCTGGATATATGACCACCAAAACATTCTTTTCTGTGAGTCCTTTGAATAAGAAGACTAAGGAAGGAGCATATCAAAAATCTTAGGTACACTGCGATGGGCCTCAAATATGGCCGACTTAATTCCGGTTTATCGTTCTAATTTTATTTAAAAAATGTAAAACTATGATGTAGGGTAGACGTGGGGTAGACTCAATAATTTGTTGTTTTATTTTACGTTGTGAATAAATGTTGGTAGTTATTAAAATTGTTATAAAAATATATAATTCTAATAAAAATATATTAGTTATAATAAGTGTTTATTAACACAAACATCCGATACGCTACTGAAGCAGGTAAGTCAAATTAACGTATCTAAATTCTTTGACATCTAATCTTTGACAAGTAATAAATAAAAGCTGAAATGCAAGAAAAATATATAATTTAGTTAATTTAAGTGAATTTCATAAATGATCGGTTTACTACACGTATGTATATTATATAGTCACTTACTAACGAAAAGTTGTTCCCATTATTTCACTCAATTTTTGCCGAGATCTACCGCACGCTACACAACCAACTATTTTAGAGTCTTTTTCGATAAATCGCGATAGTGTCACTGTTAATTTAAATTCTGCCACAATTTCCATCTAGATTTACTACCTTTATACAACTATCAGTAGTAGAATAAATAATAAATAACATAAAATAAGGTCCGTAAAGACTGACAAATCCACAAAATTTCAAATCAAATTCAAATGTGTCAAATGAGTCGTCAAACAGAACTGTCAAGGATCCCCACCCTAGAGTGCTTTTTCCCGCCCACCATGCATGAATATATGGATAGCATTATGCTCCTTCCTTAGTCTTCTTATTCAAAGTGTGAGTCTTATATTGCCATTTTATTATTACTGATTGTACCGGATGACCCATTTTCGGGTGTTTACAGGGTTTCTTGTTTATGACTAGAGATACAAAGATACATTTTTATGAAACTAAATAGTCCGGTTGAGCTACCAAAATACGTGTGTTTTTAGAAGGGGACCTTTTTTATGATTCTAAATCATTTTTAAGGTGTTAACATTGAAATTAAGCGTGGAAGTCACTTCGAAAATTTTAGCATTTGGTCGCTACATTAAATTTTAATACTAATAGCTCCCGTATATAGCCTGTAACGCCTTGGAAGTAGCAAGGTACAGCTTGCTATGCTAGAGCCGTTCGGTATACAAGAAATATGTGGCTAGCACTACGCTTCAGCCGCTTATTATTTACCTCAGGATTGTGAATCCCAAGTACTCATTTAAGGCTGAGTCGACCTAGGTACCCAAACTATTTTTATTTTATTAAAAATAGTCGGCTGACGAAATGCCGGCTGTAGGATTCGAACCCACAACCTTTAGATTGGTAGACGAGAGCTGTACCTCTACGCCACCGGGCACACTTACATTAAATTATACCAGCATGAAACGGTAAGTTAGCTAAACGGCCAGGGAGGCCTCTACTGATAGATCTAGTGGAGCACTATATTCGCTTCTTTTAAACTGAGTTTTGAAAACGCATAGTTCCCGAGATGTTTAATTTGAAAGTTTTTAATAAATTTAACTAATCAGTCTGCATCATCCACGCCCAAAAATCTTTTAAATCGGAATATAAGTGAAAAAAGCTCGATTTTGGACGGGAAATTTTTTGGAAATTTTTTAAACACAGTTTAAATGGGACGATGGACGATTATAGGGATCCACTAGCTCTATCTGTAGAGGCCTCACCGGTTGTTTTTCACTACTTTTGCGTGTTTCACTACTTATATTTGCTTTTCTACGAGTCTTCATGCAAAATCTAAGAAAACGAAAAATAGGCCATGGGAGGGCCTATTTTTCGTCTATCCGACGGTGCATAAATGATTTCTTAGAATTGCAGGGTTTGGTAGATACCCTAAAAAAAGTTGAAAAAAAAACAAAATTTCCAAAAAAAATCCCGGCCAAAATTGAGCTTTTTTCACTTAATCCGATTTAAAAGATTTTTGTGCGTGGATCGATGCAGATTGATTACTTAAATTTTTTAGTATACACAGTTTGACAAAAACCTACATACAGGGTGAGAAAAAAAATAAAAACCGATTTTTTCATTTTCGGCAAGTTTTTTAAAATACAACATAATCTAAAATAAAAGGGGGAAAATAAAAAAGGGGTCAAATTGCATTTAGAATTCATACATTAACGTCTTCTAACCATACCAGGTGAGAAAAGTGGAATAAGTTAATAAATAAAAAAATCATTTTTTTTTCAAAGGGGTATAATATCCAGAAAATCAACAATTTTTTTGAGAGAAAACAACTTATTTTTATTTACACCTTTATTTTTTTTTCTGCCGGTATAATTTAACGTAGCGAGCAAATGCCAAAATTTGGTCAACTTCAACGTTAACACTTATTTAGTTATACACACTAATTATTTAGAACCTTAAAAAAGATACCCTAAAAAAACTCGCATGATTTAATATCTCAACCGGACTAAAATATGCTACACAAAGATTTGTTCTAGATTCTACCCCTTTTAGTTCCTGACATACAGGGTAAATTTGAAAAATTTTTGCATTTTTCAATCTCCGTAGTATCTCGGTTATCTTATAGCTTAGCGAAAAGGTGAAAAAATAAATGCCCCATAGAGGTTTTTGACGTAGAATTCAGTGGCGTAACTAGATTTTCGCTGGGAGCTGTCATTCTGGAAATATGACCCAAACTTATGATTTTTTAAATGGTATGCCCTGTATATTATTTTTTATTTTATTTATCTTGTTATGAACATATTATTATTATGAGCCAACTGGACGCCGTTTTTTTTTCGATCATACGGTATTTGCACCCTAACTTTTAATTTATTAAATATACTATTTTATTAAAATTAAGTAAGAATTTGAAAATACGTCAGTAGTAATATTATACTTGTGTAAAAAGCTTATGAAAAAAGGCGGGATTTGTAACAATAATGACAATAAAAAGCAAATATAAGTGGATAAGACGGATTTTTATACAGTAACGTAATTTGTATTGAATTGTATATAGGAACAGGCGACTTTTACTGCATTTTGGGATTATGTTTATTTGACGCCTCAAATATAATATGCTCTATCTATACTTATTTCCATAAACAACTTGTTTAAGTTAGGTAAACAAAACATTCAAATTTTGGCCAATATGAATAATTTTTCTATTAATTTTATAAGTTTGTGTGTATGTAAATAGTTTCCTAGTAATAATACTAAAATATTTATTTTATAATCGTAAAGTAAAAAATAAAAAAGTTTTGGTTCCGCCCGGGATCGAACCGGGGACCTTCTGCGTGTAAAGCAGACGTGATAACCGCTACACTACGGAACCAGTTGTTCGGTTTTCTCTTAGCTCGCAAATAAGCAGAATGACACCTAAATATTGAAAAATTAAAAACATATTTTAATTATTTATAATTTAACTTGATTTTATTATCGATTTTGGAGTTATTAGTATGGACATTAAAATCAACTATTTCTTGCAGGAGAATAAAGATATAACCGAGCCAACTGGATATAATGCAATTCGATTTCCTCTATGGCGAGATGCAGGAAGGAAGAAGGAAACGGACGGGAAGCGGAAGGATGGATATAAACCGGAAATAGTTCGGGCAGATCGAACCGGAACTAACTGGTTTTTGTTTTGACAAACGACGGTTTGATTTTGGAATTGAATAACAGGTACACATATTTTTTATTAGATATGTTTTGAAAATTACTTAGGTCACAACAAGGTTAAAACAATATTACAACTAGATCACAGTGTCTATAGCTAATATTCGGTGTATAGCTACCTATTTCTATGAAAAAAAAATAATACGTTTGTATAGATGGTATTAGAAAATTAATAAATATTAATGAAATGAAATAGATACCAACGTATAAAACGGTTTGGGATTAACTCTATAGTTTGGGACAATGCCAAAATAAAAGAATTAAATTAATAAAAGAACGAGAACTTTTTTCTAATCCATATCAAATGTAGTTTAATTAAATTTATTTTCATATGGATTTATTTTAGTTTTAATTCATTAAAATTAAGGGGGGAGGGTTTATAAAGAGAGTTAATAAATTTAGAAGCATATAATATCAAAACTTAAATTAACAATAATTATTGGGAACACTTTTTAAAAAAAGTCTGTAAAATATTTAGTTATATACTAGGTATTATCTTAGCAAGAGAATATCTTAATATTATTAATTTAAAAAGGCAACAATTTTCACTGATGAGTAGGTAACTATAGTTCATATCAAATAAACTCTTAATCACGTGATTAAGCTTGGCCGGCACAGCGTTGCTCTCTTTAACATATTTTCTTTTAATCCAAATATTTTAGGAGGCAAAAATAAATTAATTATAAATATATAAACAGTTATTACGAAAACAATTGAATACGTCAATCATCTCAATTTATGTCATATACTATATACAGGGTGTTTCAAAACAAATGCGAAAAACTTCAGGGAGGTGATTCCTTGTTCAAAATAAAGGGTAGTTTGTTTCATAAACGTTGGGTCAAAAGTCAACCATTAGGGAGATATCGCGGTACAAAGATGGCGGAAAAATAATGTTCTTATTTTTTATCTTGAAAACGAAAAGAGATAGACTAATGAAATTTTATGGAAGCATTACTGTTATGGAAACACACTTTCTGGTAATTTTTTCACTGTTTTAAAATGAGTGGAAGGGTTGAAATAAACTACCCTATCATTCTTGTTAACGAAATTTAAAGAAAAAATCTTATCAAACACATGCAATTAATTTGGATAGTTTAGTTTGTTTAGAAACTTTTTTATCTCTTGTATTTTTTTTATAAAACTCACCGATTTGAAATTAAAAAATAAAATGTAAAGCATTACATGTCAGGACTAAAAATATTTTTAGATTAAGAATCTAGTGATAATAATGATAATAATAATAATCTAGATAATAACGTATTGCAGTAGGGTAATGTCAAATAAAACAATATTAGAAACATCCTAAAAAGTGACAGCGACCGACTAGATTTTTCCTAAAAAAATTACAGCTGCCCACTAGATTCTTTATCTAAAAATGTTTTTTGTCCTGACATGTAATGCTTTACATTTTATTTTTGATTTCAAATCGGTGAGTTTTATCAAAAACACAAGAGATAAAAAGTTTCTAAATAAACTAAACTATCAAAATTATTTTTTTTTGCATGTGTTTGATAAGATTTTTTCTTTAAAATTCATTAACAAGAATGATAGGGGTAGTTTATTTCAACCCCTTCCACTCATTTTAAAAAGTGAAAAATTACCAGAAAGTGTGTTTTCATAACAGTAATGCTTCCGTAAAATTTCATTAGTCTATCTCTTTTCGTTTTCAAGATAAAAAATAAAAACATTATTTTTTCGCCATCTTTGTACCGCGATATCTCCCTAATGGTTGACTTTTGACCCAACGTTTATAAAGCAAACTACCCTTTATTTTGAACAAGGAACCCCCTGAAGTTTTTCGCATTTGTTTTGAAACGCCCTGTATATGTTGCATACCAAATCTCGTTTTTTTTACTGAAAAAATTAAAATGTTATAGGGGTGAGCCACTTTTGAGAAGCACCCGGCATAACACGTTACTTATTGTTAACCAATCAACTATGAAATTCGGTATTCGGTTCAAAGTAGGTTTATTAATTTTATTTATGCTCCCACTGGATGCATCCATATCTTGCTCGTTCGTTCCCATATCTCGTATTCCTTACCCGAAATACATTATTTAGTTTCCAACTGACCTCTCGTACCTCCGGGAATAAACAAACTTATCCAGAATCTAGTTAAACAAGGTTCCCGTTGTCGACGACGTACTGGAAATATCCAGGACGCAATCCGAAACAATTACGCTTTAACTCGGTTAACATTCGATAACCAGAAAATTTATAATCCTTCTTGATAACGGTCTATCGCGCGCCCAAATCCAATTTCCGATCCAGACGGAGTCGCGTCGATATTGTTCCGGGAATATGGCAACGGCTTTCAGCTATCGGGAATAAGAAGGATGCAGCGAATATTTGTCTGGAGATTATGGAACGGGAACGACGCAGTATAATAAATGGTTTCATAGAGCAAAAGCGATTGACTGAATTGAAAGGTCTAAATTATAGTATGATCGTTAAGTTAAACTAATAGGATAGAAGAATGGCATTGTTCTTTATTGCAAAACTTTCTGTACTAATCTACACTTTTACACTCAAATGTACTTTATTACCTTTCAACAAAAAGATCAAGGAATACTATTAGCCTTGTATAATATAAACAAGACTATTAGTTGGGCCGCACAACTGACAAATTGTTCATTCAGATTGAGAGAAAATATTAATTTTGTTTATGTTCCCACTGGATGGATGCATTGATATATTGGTGGAAATTTTATTTCGCTCTTAAAAATCAACCAAGGCATGTGTTGTCATGAGTCAAAAAGCAAAATGCTCAGGAGACATGGTTCCGATCGAAAAATAATGTTTTAGGAAAAGTTACTCACGAACTTATTGCACAAGGTGTTTTAAAGTTAAGGTAAAAAATCATCCTTCAATTAACCCTGTATAATAAGCCAAATACTAAAGTTTATAAAAAACTGAGTTTATAAATTAGAGTTAATAGATTTATATACAGTTTGCTAAAAAAGTCATGAAAATAGGGCTAAAAGTAATAAAAATATAATTTAAACTTAACGAAAAAAATTTCCGTTGTTTTTCTTTGCCTCTGAGTGTAGTAGAATTCGAAGCGCGTGTCATAAGAATTTGCAAAGGTTTATTAAAAACCACCGAAAATGCAGTAAAATTAGGATGATATTCATGGAGAAATTTTTGCAGAAGCTCAAGAAGCCACCACCCATTTACAGTTTGCGAAGTCTAGAGAACATTACAATTTTTTTAACTTTATTGTCATCATCGAGTATTATAGAAAGATCAAAAAACGCCCACGTATATGACCTCTAAACTAATTAATTTATTTTCCACGTCTGCCTTCCACATGGAGAATTAATTCCATTATGTCATCTGGATATTTCCGGTCTGTTGCAGATCCCTAGTCCTTTCTCTCTCGTCTCGTAATTGCCGTGCCAATATTATCCAGAAAGCTGGAATAAGCAGACCTTAGTAGCAGCGACAGCGGCAACGGCAAAACGCTTTGCATAAACGGGCTACGGCAACAGAGATCGGAATATCAACTGGATCTTGCCATCGTTTCCAGGCTTTGATCCAGTGTGTAGCACGTATTTTTTACAGGATGAATGCCTTTCATCATGCATTGATACTGCACAGTCTCATTATTGCTTCTGTTATAATCATTATTTAATACGTATAGAGATATTCATTCAATACATTCAAATAATAATTTATATAAAGGATATTATGTTAAAAAAAATTGTGTGTGCAAATTTTGGAATATACAGGATGTTTCAGAACTAAGATCCATACCAAAGTTATATTTTTTTATGGTACACCCGGTATTTTATTTCATTTTTGGATTATTCACCTAAAAAAGGCATTTATTATAAGGATTAAATATGTTTAAAATCTTTGGTTTTTGAGATATTTAAATATGCACGCTACAATAGAATATATTATTAACATCCTGTACACATTACTTTTCAGAATTAATTCTTGCGTTGACTTTAAAGATAGAGAAATAAACTTTACTGAAAATGTTATTGCTTCTTTAAATTTATACAGGAGTACCAAAAATTGCTGATCTATTTTATTGATTTATTTTATATGAAAACTTCGTTATTTCAAATGCAATACCCTGTATTTTTTTAAATAAATCGGAGCAGATTCAAATGCTCTTTCGAACTATATTAGGGTTTCCTATACCTATCTAGCTCAGATTTTGAATAAAAAGCGATTTTTAAATAAAATGGCAATCAAGATGGCTGGTGTCGCCATGGCAATTTTCTAGTGACAGTTAGTAACTATTTTCAAAATCGACATTTATGAACATTATTTTTTATAATTTAACAGTTTACTTAAATGTATCTACAATAGTTTAATAAGTAAGAATTCATTATTTATCAAGAAAAATAAAGCAGTATCTGCTGGCGGACCGAATGGATATGAAGACTTCAGGGGAAAAACGATCTAAGTCACATTTTCTTACTTTTGAGATAAATGATTTTGAAACTTTAAAGACTAAAGGAAAAGAAATAATAAAATGTAGCGAATCGTAAGAAGTTTTTATCAATAGTTATATGTATAGACATTAACTGATTAACAGACAAAACAAAGAAAAATAATTTGTAGCAAATTTTTTAGATAAAATAAAACTCGTATTCGCTTGGTTCAATAGAAAAGTGGTCCAAGTCCATATGGAATAATTCTGTATGTGGTTACTCCGAGGATTACTCGTGCTGGAATAAAGAGGAAAATATGTTTTTATTCTCATTTTTATTATTAATATTATTATTATATTTTCTTAATATTTTTTTATTTATTTCTTATTTTTATTATTATTTTTTTATTAATATTATTGGCATTAGATTATTTTTTACTTAGAAATGGCGATTTGTTTCTGATAAAATTAAACTACACTACTAGACAGTTCCCCTATGGTTCCACTAGAACCACATTTCCAGAATTTAATTTCTTTGAATTTAAAACTAGTGACACAATAGACATAATCAGACTTCTTTTCTTAGGCAGAAATAAAAGCAATATAGTTTAATTGA